ATAATAAGAAATCATAAGATTTCAAAAGATCTTATCAATTCTTATCAATTTCCTATAAGATCTTACAAGATTTCATATGACATCTTGTAGCAAGATTCTTGTAAGATTTTACAAGATTTTTCTTATCATAGGAGTGTACAGGATCTTGTATGATCTTATAAGATCTTACACAAATAAGGTATAAGAAATTAAACGACCTTATAAGGAGGCACAAGATTTTATACGATCTTACAAGATCATACGCCTGATCATTTCCTGTCGAATCCTCTATACCTCTGTATTTTTCTTTTTCTAATATAATTTCTAACATTTGGCCCTAGACGGCCACAGGACCGTCTTTTGTCACGTTTCCTAACCATGCACTTCGTATGTGCTCAACTGACGTGTGAAGTTCAGAAGAGAAAAGAGTTTGAAGCTTTTCAGAGAGAATGACGTGTTTCACCTGGGATAATCCTTTCATTATTACAGAAGGCTGCTCTACTTTACTTAATACCAATCCAGTTTTAAAGACTTCGTCAGGTTGCGTAAGAATTAGTTTTCTGTTATCGCAACGGAACAGCGCAAAATGAGTTTCAGTCTCAAAAAAATTTCAAAGTTCAGCGCCACTGTCCATGGGAGTTGATGAGCAACTCGATGAACTTTACAGCATGCTCTCCGTTTTTTCTGGAAAGCCTAGGAAGTTTTTATCGAAGACTGAGAGATAAACTACATTCTATGAAATCTTGAAGGTTTTCCGATGTAAGTTTAATAAAATATCGAACATTTCAAAAGGAAGTATATTTCAGTTTTAGGTCGTGATTTTGAATTTGGATTTTGATAAAAAGAACTTTTTATAGTTTTTCCTATACTCGAAGTTGTGATCCACCCCGTTGAAAGAATATATGTATTTATTTATTCCGTATAGTAGCGTTGGTCAATAAAGGTACTCGATGACTATTGATTGATGCAATGTAAACAAATGGTGTAATGAACCGAGCCATTGTATTATGATATATGTAAGTATTGTATATAACATAATTAACCACTCCAATGTATCGCGTACGATCTTGAATTGTCACAGTGAATGTAAGAAAATGTCGTGATATAATAGTAGTACTAGATGCGAATTCGCACGTAAAGCAGTGTCGATCGATCTGAAGTGATAGACAAGTCGAATACATTTGTTTACAGACGAAAGACTAACATCTTTCTGCAAATCCCTATTGTACCGGACTGCGACAGTGATCCTGAGCAAGTTAACCTCTCAACATTTGGAGAATAAAAGTTTGCCCGTCAATCAGACAGTTGATGGGAGTGTCAAGTGTCCAGGAGCCTGTTTCTCAATAAAACTTAAATATTTCATTGAAGTTGATTTAATTTTTAAGTGCAAAATTAAGTCACACTTCAGTAAATTTCTTTCGCTTTTAAAAAAAACCTGTTGCCTGAAGATTAAATTCGACGCTGCTTACTATCATAATAGAAGTTAAATATCCTGACATCAACTAATCATAAGATCAGTGATCAACGTGTTTCTTATGTGGATGAATCGTCTCTTTTTTTCAATGATTCATTACGGTGGGCATATGCGGTCTGTATTCTAAGAGTGTAGCCTCTCTGCACCCGCTTTTAAGATCATTGTGTTTGGAACTTGAACTGACTGTACGGAGATGGTGCTAACTGCGTGTAATGTAGACCTAGCATCTTATCCGAATAAATGGATTCATATGACTTTCTAGCGCAATCAGATTTCACAGTCTAAGATTAGCGATTATACTTTCTTATTTTTTCTCGATACCATCACGTTCTCTTACTATTCGTCCAAGCTGCTATAGTGATATTATCGTATATGAATATACTGCTGATGCTTTAGCACCTCACATCGCTGTTTCGACTATTTATTTTTTATTTTTACGCTGCTCCCTATAGTTTTTCAATGTCTTCTAAGACTATTTGGTTTCTAACATAAGCTTTGGCATCTATTAATATTTGAATTTCGAGACTCAATACTTCCAGCTTCAATGACTCACTCAGTGGGGTACAATTTAGTTGACACACTTCCCGTTCTATTTTTAGAAATACGTTTGTACGCGTTCTTCTCTAGTTATTTTCCAGTTTTTACTGGAAGAACACGCACGAACGTGTTCTTAAGAATATAAAGGGCCTGTCGGACTTAGAACAAAATTGCAGCTCACTGAGCAGCTTTAATAGAAGATATTTTAGCGAGAGCAAGTTGTTTGTTCACTTGTTTTGTTTATTTTCTTTCAATCATAATGAAATAAAAAAACAGATTCAGGAATAAATGGCACTGAAGCAGAAAGAAATACACTGATTCTTCTCATTTTCGTCAAAGCTGCTAAATGAGCGCGCTCACTGAAATTGCAGTTTTAGTATTGTTTATTGCTGCAGTCTGTTACATTGTGTGAACCACTGAAAATGCTCCCGCACACTACAAGGTGGACAACCACGTGGACATTAGGTCAAATATACTTTGAAATACAGGCGATCTAATATCATAAAAAAATTTTTCCCAGTGCCATAGTTAGTCGGAAAATGCATTGTTAGGAAAAACAATATTTCTTTCTACGCTAAATGCTTTCCTAAAAGGTTTGCTCAGTATAAGGAGTGCAGGAACTTTAGCGAAGGTCCAAATTTGATGAAATTTTGATAGGATGTTATTCTACTCACAATACACCTACAGTGCTATTGCGAAGTAGCATGAAGGTATCTGGACTGAGCTATGGGACTTCCAAAAACCGTTGGTTTTTCAAGTAAAATCGCTTTTTCTCGGTTTAGAAGTACATTTTCTGAAAAATAATGAGATATTTGGATTCAGCGTATAAAACTGCACCGAATGATGTACATATGAAGTATTTCTGAACAAAAAATGTTCCAATTCAGCGTGATGCGACGGTTTTAGCGTATGGATATATGCGTCCGTATGTTTGTACTGGTTTTACAGAGATCAGATCTTCGGAATACCTGTACAAACATACTTTGAAAGTTTGAAAACCATGCCGTTTAAAAGAGCACATACGAAAACCTATCAAAAGAGTGTTCAGAGACTTTCGCACCGCTTTTCTAGCACATGTCCACGTGTCTAGCCAAAATTGCCCACTGCCCACTAGTCATTCCCTTTTTGCAGAAGTTTTTAATTGTTCGTTGGGTTTATTTATATAGCGTTCGTTTTCTTTCTCAAAATGTTTTCAAAATAGGTCAGAAAGCTGCAGATCATTCGTATCTTTTATTTTCTCATCATTTTTATTAGAACAGTATAGGTTTCGGCTGAAGCGCTTCAGCAGACGGAACAGATGCTTTTCCTTAAAGCTTAATATATTTGATGTACCTTTTTCTTTTTTTTACATTAAAAGAACTTGGTCATGGGGTCGAGCGATATTAACGAACAATTTTCATTTATTAATGTAAAAAAGCGTGCGTTGACCGATAATGATGACATCAGGACAAAAAGTTTCAAACAAATATCATGTATGGGAAAACAAGACAAAAATGAACTTGATGGTAACATGTTTATATTTTTGTGGAACTCCTTCCAATGACTTCTGAAAGAAGGAAGAATGTAATTTTTATACTCAAATCCTTAGGCTTGGGTAATTTTTTACCTTTCATCTTTCTCTGGCAATGATCTTAAATGTTCACTTGGCAATGCTTTTAAACTGGCATTGAAAATACTTTTAAAGGTCCCTACTTAACATTATCTTATTATCGTATAGTTATAGCAGAGAATATTAATTAACAATACAAATTCATTGTCCATTGCTCAGAGAAGTTTCACATTTTAGCTCGAATCAGGGTTTGTCTGACAAGATCTTTTATCAAATAACGATCAATGAAGTCAAGTTTGAAAAGAAAAGGATTTAGTTCTGTAGATCGTGTTTCAGCTGTTATATTTTTTCTCTTTAGGCGTGTATATAAATACCATTGAAGATTGTCCAGTCGAAATTTGGAGAGAAATATTTGATTATTTATTATCCACTGAAATTATACAATCATTTTCACAACTGAATTTTCGTATAAATTCAGTAATTGAACAAGTTCAAATGCATATTGATTTATCATCCTTGAAAATAACAACAACAATGTTTAAATATTTTTCACAAAACGTAGTTCGACCACATTGTAATCAATTTATCTCTATACAGCTATCAAATGAAAACAAAGTAGATGCAATTCGCCTATTTCAATCAGTCTGTCAATTGAAACACTTTATTAATCTTCGTAAATTAATTTTAATTCGTCCAACGAAAAATGATTTAATTCATCTTGTACACAATTTTCCATCACAACTGTCAACATTAAAAATTAGTAGTGGTATTCATCGTAGTTATACATATGAAGAAACAATTGCAAATAAAAATGATGACGTAATTCGTACAATACTCAAATTAAAATCATTGAGAACTATACAAATACCAATGATTAATGTTGAAGATTTTATGTATTTACCATCATCGTTTATCGAACATTTGACACTTGATCGATGTGATAAAAATATATTTCATTTTTTACCAGTAACGTTAAAATATTTAAAAATTAATCTTCTTTATAATTCATTAACTCAACTTGATTTAACAGCATCATTAAATCTTCCAAATCTTACACATTTGATATTACAAACAGAATTAGATGTGCAAGAAGATATTGAAAATTTAATAAAAGTAATTGGAAAAAATCTTTTATGTTTATCATTAGACGTTTTAGTTTACGGTGATAATGTAACAGAATTATTTTCTGGTGATTATTGGGCAAATTTATTAGCACAAGTACCGTTATCATGTACCATCAATCTACTTGTTCGTGGTGGTTATAATATTGATTGTTCACTCTTCGATTCTATATCAAAAACATTTCAGACACAATTTTGGTATCGACATAATTTACCTGTTCGAATTCATTTTACATCTCGCTCAGATTCACTATGTTTCTATACATTACCCTATCCGAAAACATTTTATGATACACACTGGAATAATTATTCAACACTAACAACAACAACAATGTATGATAAAGAAAGGTAAATAATATAATATTTTCTCTTTATGAACATACGCAATGTATCACAAGATGGTCTCGTATAAAGATTTTAAAGAGGACATATCCAACAAAAATACGCTATGGGCATGCGATGCGTACTGAAATCTGTGTTGTAGTACATACTGTTGAAAGACAAAAGAAAGAATTTATAAGGGAACTACAAGATAAAATAAGATATTAATGGGTGACATAGAATGCCTGATACTCGTCATATTTTCTTGCATTACTTTCATATTTTTCACCGTGTAGCCTTAAACTTTTCGAAGAAGATTTTTCATTTTTCACTTTCTATTAAAAACATATTGGACATTTTTCTATATACTATAGAAATAAAACAATATGGATAAACTACTAACGAGGGAACCTTTCGAGGTAATTAAACGCTTTTTAGTCGGAATCTAGTGGGTTATAGATTATCGACCATGCTGATTACGAATATGACCATGGGGATTGCCCTTAGCCCTTCGACGACGTGATTTTCTAGAAAACCAGTTTTTCAGAAACTCTAAAATATAACGCGAACCTTTCTTAACCAGGCACGATTGTAGCCCGTAAATTTCTGGTTAAAATGAGACATCTCCCAGCTTTACATGATCTTTCTTTGCAAAGTTATAGAGTTTACAAGAAAAGCCCTAAATTAATTTCGTCTTATTTCTGTAGCTTTGAGCTGACAATAAACATTTAGGGCTTTTCTTGTAATTGTTGTAATTCTATAACATTGCAAAGAAAGGTCATGTAGAGCTGGAAGATGTCTCATTTCAATCAGAAATGTGCGCACTACAATCATGCCTCATTAAGAAAGGTTCGCTTTATATTTTAGAGTTTCTGAAAAACTGATTTTCTAGAGGGGGGAGGCCAAGGGCAACCCCCATGGTCATATTCATAATCATCTTGGTCGATAACCTGCAACTTACCAGATTCCGAACAAAAAGCGTTTTATCACCTCGAAAGATTCCCTCGTGAGAAGCTTCAATGTCAACAATTTTTGACCATCAAAACATAGTTTTTTCATTCTTAGCTCTTCATATTTTGGGATATCGAAAAAAAAAGATAGACATTTTATAATCCGTGAAAAGGTCTATGAACCTATGGTTATACTTAATACTCTTCATAATCACAAGTGGTTGTATCGAAGAGTTTTTTCTTTTGTTGATCTTATCAGCAATTATCGTTTTCAAACTGCAGTTTCAGGCAATTAGGAAATTTTTTATAACTCGATCAAAATCAAACATTTTGAAATCAAATTTATTTTAACTTAAAGCAGAATAATTCTTCTATCACATCTGGATAGCAAAGGTTGAATAGCTTCATTCCTTTTTCTGTACCAAGACAGAAAAGTCAAACTTCCCTCGTTTCAGTTAAAAGATAAAATCAGTTTTTATACCAGAAAACACGTTCAAACTTAACCTATAAAAGAAAGACGACATTTCGGGACACTGACACATACATTTCAGTTTCATTTCGTTGAATACAAATGTGTCCAAAATAATCATTTTCATTGTGTTTTGGGGTTTTTTTGTCTTCCAAATCTGATCATGATATATTTTCTTTATTAGGACAATGTATGATGTTCGAAAACCACCACAAATATTAGATAATGATTATGATCAAGTAACAATATTTGATGCTTATTTTGCAAATGTTTTTGAAGATTATGAATATGGTTATTATCGTAATATTCAAGAATTAAATTTTAATCTTTATGAACGTGCTGAAGCAACTCATATACTATCATTACTTGATCGAACAATTGCTTTTTCGTTAACTAATTTAACAACATTAATATTAAATAATAATAGTCGTTTAGATCGAAATTATTTAACAAATGAATTATTTGCCGAATTATTGAGACGTATGCCAAATTTAACATCATTATCGTTAAGTTATAATAATATAGAAAAATTATTTTATTCTCTCGATCAGCCAAATAATAAAATTCAATATTTAAAATTTGATGATTTAATAACACAAAAAACTTTTTCTAAAATTCAACAATTATTACCTAATTTAAAAATGTTAGGATGTGTTATAATAAATGATACAATTTTAAAGAAAATGTTACCATTATTATTATTTAATACAAAATTAGTCTGTTTTTTGCTTAATATTCGAATATTGTATGATAAACGAGCACTTCGATTATGGATCAAAGATAAGATGAAAAATTTACAAAATTTTAATATTGATGGACAAAATTTTCATGGTTGGATTTGAAGCGATAACAAATTTTAGATTTATGAAATTTCAAAAAAAAAAATTCTCTTATTTTTCGTCTCGAAATCGTGTTTGTGTGGTTTGAAAAGAAATTGATAAATTAAAGTTTTTTGTCGAGGGATATCGTGCTCGTCAGATCCTTAAAAAAACAAAAGTTTATGAATTATAGGGTGAGGATCCTCTTGCACCCCACTCCCCTCCCATTGCTTGTAACACTCCTATTTTTCTTCATATCTGGCTAAAATTTAGTCACTTTCAGATATCGACTGGATGATTCATCGGCAAGTGCATCTGATGCACCACTCGATTTTGTCGATGTTCATTTACTTTTGTCAAATCCCATCTCAGTTTAGTTACTATGAACTCGAACTTGTGTGTAGTGAACAAAAAAAATTTTTTTGTTTTCATTTTTCTGATCTACTATATTAAAAATAGTTAGCTAGCTTTTTTTAATTGTTATTAGAACTAGTTTTCAGTCATTGTTCGTCTAATCTGTTTACTGTTGTGTCTCTTTTCTCTTTAGTATGCCAAATGATTTTTATATTTTTATTGAATCATTTCTGGAAGCTCATTGAAGTCAGATAAATTCTATAAATTTAATCTAATAGATCATTTTTTTGTTGTTGTTGTTTCAATTGTTGTATACTATTGTATAGAATTAATTTCAATTTGTTCACTATTTGTTTACTGTTGATATAAATTTAATTATTTGTTTTATGCCTACATAAGAATGTATGTGCATAGTCAGTATTGTTTCACAACATTTTGAAATTTAGCCGAAATTTACTAGTCTGTGAATGATTGATTGTTTTCTCTATTAATTAGTCGATGTTGTTTGTTTGTATTCTATTGCTTCATAAATAATTTCGAACTCTTTTGTCTCTGTAGCCATATTGATTGGTTTTTTTGTACGTAGTTTTTGCTATTTTGTGTTGTGTGTTTACATTATGTTCATTTATAAAAATATTCAAATAAAGCTTTTATTACATTAATTCTCTTTTTCTTATTAATTAGAAGTCATATGACACAGTTTCTAATGATATGGATTTATTCTCAAAGAATACTACGCTCTTATTCATTTTCTGTGATTAGATGAGGTAAATGCCATTTATGTTTTAACAAATTATATTTTTCAGCCACATCTTAAATGGATAATAAAATCCAAGAAGAAGAGAAGGTGAAAATAATAGACAATAAAAAATATCATCAACAAGAATCAAAATTCAACGAACATGATCATGAAAATTCTTTATCTTCATCATCCGCTGAAGAAGAAGAAAACGAAAATAGTGCTGAACAACAATTTATTAATTACATTACATCTCATTTATCCGATCATTTGACAGTAGAAGAACGATCTGATTATTTACAAAAAGTATTATCACAATGGAGAAAACATCGAAAACACACACAAGAAGAGCAACAAATGTATAAAAAGTATATTAAAACCATAAAGGAAAATTATCTAGGTATAATAACACTCTCAGATAGCCACGTTCAAACATAAAATTAATTTTATAATATTAACTACCATTATTTTCAGGTACAAATTCATTATTACCGTCTGTTCATCCATTATACCAATTTCAGAATTGGAAATTAAATCCAAAATTAATACAAGCTATTAATGAGAATAACTTTGATAGTGTACTTGTTCAGGTACATCCTGGCATTTATACATTTGAATGTTTTGATGAAGAATTTTGTCAACAATTGATAGCTGAAATAAATCATTTTGAAAAGTGGTGTCTTGAAAATGGAATTAGAGTTCAACGACCAAATTCTATGAATAATTATGGCGCTATATTAGATAATTTTGGATTTGAACCATGTTTACAAGACTTAATGACACACATTGTTGAACCGTTAGCCAAACATGTTTATTCATATATAACACCACCATTAGATTCACATCATGGATTTGTTGTTGAATATAGTATGAATAAGTAAGTCAGTCAATAGTCTTTAAAGAGTTGTAACATTTCTGTTTTTATCTTCTATATAGAGATAAAAAATTGGATTTTCATGTCGATAATGCTGATGTAACATTAAATGTTTGCCTTGGCCAAGAATTTACCGGTGGTCAACTGTATTTTGGAGGTGTTCGTTGTCAAGAACATGTTCAAACTCCAAGTTTACCAAATGAAGATTTTTATTTTGATCATAAAATTGGTTACGGTGTTTTACATGTTGGAAAACATCGACATCGTGCATGTGAAATAACAAGTGGAACGAGATTAAATTTAATACTTTGGGTAATAACAACAACATCTTTCCTATTGTTTAACTTCTCATTTATACATTTTTATTTTTTATTCAGTGTCTTTCATCAAAGTTTCAAGCGGAAAATTGTGGAAACCATAAAATGTGTTACAAATGGTGCGCTTATCATCAAATCAATGAATGTTTTCACAAAAACAGCCATGTGAAACATGATTAATAAGTTTCTGATTGTTTTATTCCAGATATTTTAGTACTTTATTTTTGTACTTTTTTATTTTATTTATGTATTATTTTTTTAACCTTGAATAACCAGTTTCTAAAATAATGGCAGATGTTTATTTACATCTTGTTTTTGTTAGTATGACAAAAGAAAACTACGATTATCCATTTATAGCGGAAAGTTTCATTCAGGTCTTTTACCATTAAGTAAGCATATCTTATGGTAATGGTGATATGCAATAAACAAAATGAAATAAACAACAAGAAAAAAAATAGTTTTTTAATTCCGTTGGAAGAAAACGGAAACCTTTTATTTTCGAGATGCGTGTCTTCTGAATGGTTTGAGATTTTCTTCGATGAGTCAGCGTTAGAAATTGACGGCTGACGCTGTTGATATTAGTAATTTATTTTATTTTATTCGTTGTGTTTGCTGAATTGATAGGAACTAAGGGTCGCTCTTTCTACTGTAGAATCTGCATTTAATATACATCATAATTCGAAATCATTCAGCATTCAGAAACCTATGGTTCCTAAAAACGTAGGCGGAACTTTTGTTAGGAATATTACCCACGCACCTCTAACCCAGAGAGAAAATTTTTAATGAAATATTTTTGTGCGAAAACCGAATGTTAAATATGCTATTCGATCCGGTTTTGCCAACTGATCTCAAATATGTTATTAGTTTTGCTTGAAAATATAAGGGAAGTGAAAAGAGTGCAAAATAAGGGAAATAACGGAGGGTAGAGGTGCGTGTGTAGCAGGGATGCCAACTAAAAAAGAAATAAAGGGGGACAAATCTAGGAAAAAGAGGGACATAAGAGGGACTTTTTCTTCTACAAAGGGGGACAAGATAAAACGCTGAGATAAAGCTTTTTATTTACAT